CATTTTAATGTGCTGGGCAATCGATCGCATTTTCCTTTATTAATAATTTAACCAGACGGAGCATACAATTTTTTCCATCTTGACATCGGCAATATAATTTTAGAAAATCTTCAGCACGATTATAATAAAATTGCTGCAACGACTTATTCTATAACAAAAAACCTTTTTACGTTGAATCGTTACGAAATAAATAAATCAATAAAATTTATTTTTAAATCACGTAGTTAACTGATAAGAAATAAACTAATCAAAATTGAAAAATTACATTCTTATTTTTAATATTAACTATTTAAATGAACGATATTGAGAACATTTTGAGTTAAATATTTTTAGAAAAAATTAAATTTGTTAGCATTCCTTCAATAAAGAATAAATAATTTATGTAACTGTGTAGTAACTGACGTAATAAATGTAAAACAAAACTATTGTTTATTAATAATTATAAAATATTAAATTATATATGTATATATAATAAAAAGATCCATTTCTCTTATTATTAATGACTTTTTTTTTTATTTATTAATACGAAAATACTTTTTTAATTTAATAAATAAATATATATATATATATATATATATATATATATATATATTTTGAAAATTTATTTACAGAATGTGTATTTTTGAGTTATGTAACGAATAAAACTCACGACATTCATTCCAATTTCAATTAACAACAACGCCTATGAAAAATATTCGAGCAATACAACAAACGTTCAAATATAATATTTGACAATACCACAACAGCCTGAAATAATATTTCATCCAATTAGATTTTAATAAACAAGTTAATACTTTATAATAGTTTAATGTTAATAATATTACAGTTAATCTTGAATTTAGAATTTAATGAAAATGATACGATTCGTTTGAAATAAATTGATTTAATAGTCGTATTTTCAAATTTATTTTGCCAAATTAAAATACATGGATTGGTCTAGATGAAACAAAAATATCTTGCCGTTCCAATTGAACTAAAAATAATAAAAGAACTCAATTAAATATGATAATTTACAATAGAATGATAGTTTATTACTTTTTAATTCTTACAATAATTCCCTTAGACAAAGAAATACATTTTTCTTTGGCAGATTTTATTTTAAAGGATTTTGATAAGGATTCTTTAATTTAGAAATACACTAACATTAATATATTATAATCATCGTATCGTTATTTTGATTTCACCATTTCTATTATTTTAAGATTTCTTTTATTCCAAATAAAAAATACGAAAGATAATGGATTAAAAATTTCATTGATACAATCAATTCATCATCAAATGAATCTCGATTTATAAAAGAATTTATATGCTTAAAATATATTAAGTATTTTAGCCTAAATTCGCACAAAATACATAAAAATCGTTTAAACATTTTTCATAACGGACGGATAACAAAAAATATATTACCGCAAATTCACTCAATTATAATTCTCGATTAATTTTTTATACACAATCATATGTCAAATCGACTTGGATGATTTTCATATTTAAATACATGATTTTTAATAAAAGCTTTCGTAAGGAAATAATTACGTGGGCTTTGCTATGGCAGCATTAAAACTTATGTTGCTTGCACTCATTTAAAGACTAAAGGCAAAAATAATTACTTTTATATTTATCTAATTACGCAGCTGCCTTGCTCCATACTAAATGCTCTAAATTACAAAACATATAAAATGTTATCGCAGTCTGATTTATGTATAATTTTCAATTATATAAATAAGTTACTTCATTTATTATAAACGTGGATTGCAAATGTAAATAAAAATATTCATCGTATATTTACTATACGTAATCCTGCATATCTTATATCTTGTATTCCTTTGATTTTCCTCAATAATTCGTCGACTAAACTGGGAAAAGTTTATACAGATCAAACATTAATGCAACTTATATTTTATTAATAATTCATATAGTAATTAGTTATTTCATCATGAACTATTAACGATATATGCATCTCAATAAATTATATATCTTAAAGACGAAATCTTTGATTAATGATATCTACAATAAATCCCAAAATAGCTATAATATATCGTCAATTTTATGTTATCATTTTTTTTTTTTCAATTTTAAATATTTTCTAAAAATTAAGAATTAATGCAAAATAATTAGCAACTTTCAATATAAAATTCAATAGGCGATGAAATTATTATTATTGAATTGCCTAATTGTCAATATCAATTATTCCATGGTCATTTTAATATTATTGTAATAAGAATTGGCTTCGATACCATTCCATAGTGTTTCTACGTAATAATCGTTTCATCTGTAGATTATAATATTTTTCTTAATAAATTATATTCCTTATTCAAATTAAATTATCAACTTTATTCATTTTTAAGAAGCAAATTATTATTATTAATATTATTATTGATGATGATTTCGGTTTGAGCGATTGTTTATTTTATCTCCTTGAAAATACGTCGAATATACAAACACTTAGTAAAAACTATAATAATAATGAATAATGCTCCTTACGATAGTCTCAAAAATTAATGTAATATTGAGAATCGTGTACATAGTGAAAAAAATAAGGTTCACCCGTTTTATCTGGTAATAAGTATGAAATAAAAATGTATTTCTACTGAATTATATTCGATAATTCCTTATATATATATATATATATATATATATATATATATAAGGTATCCTCTATTAGTAAATATATTTCACTTTGTAAATAAACTTTCATGAATAAATAATAATTAAAGTATTTGGACACTTAATGTTGTAAACGGTAGGTAAAGAATAAGATAAATTATTTCTCCAATCCTTAATATATGTATGGAAGTATCTTTTATCAATAATTTTTCAAAAATTTCAATGTACATATTTAGAGGCTAAATATTAGTTAAATCAAATCAATTATAATAGAACGCTTTTTTTATATAATGGCAATGCAGAACTGTTGTTAATTACTGCTTGTCAGTCGGTATTAACGTTTTTCGTCTTATTAATAAAAAATTACTAATAAACACCTTGATTGTCGATGCCAATTTTCCAGCTGTTTATATTGATTTAATTAAACGAACATATTAACTATTAAAACTTACATTAAAATAGTGCACCAATCAATTATGTTTCTGTGTAAATAGCTTCAAGTGTATTTGGCTTTAAATCTAAAAAAGAATTCGCAAAAACCAGAAGTTAATGGCAAAATACAGCAAATAAAAGAACAAAATAAACAATAACGACTCTCCTATCATTTCCCCCAACCTAGAGCGCAGACTATTCTTCATGAAGAACAATTTTTTATTTCAAAATTTATTATTATAAAACAGCTGCCACAATTGTGATTGAAATTAAAACTAAAAAGTAGATTTATCTAAAAAAAAAAAAAAAATTAAATTAAATATATAATATATCATATATCCAAATTTATAACTAAAAGATTTTCAAAATTAAAGGTGATTTGTCAATTACTATTAATATTCGACAAAAAATACAATCTTCATTTAAAAATTTCTGTTGGTGAGATCGAGAATTTCATATATTATTATATTGAAAATTTCATTAATAATTATAACAAAAAATAAAAATATAAAAAAAATAATTATTGTTTTGCTTACAGAAAAATATAACAATGTCGCGGTTCTCGTACTGTTTATCGCCATTGTACAGTGTTTCTCTTTCTACGCAATAGAGATAAGCACTCTCATAAAAGAGAATCGCCACTTACTTTTATTGTCAACATTTACCGAATAAACTTCCTTTGCATTTCGAATTTTATTCAAACATTTATTAAAGCCTGTTACGTCATGATCGCGATTGCAAAAAATATTTGACTGGCATATAAATTTTAATCTCTCGAATATTTCAATGAAAGGCTATATTATTCTTGATATAAGTTTATTCGCCAAATGTTATTAAAAAAAAATAAAATAAAATAAAATAAAATAAAATAAAATAAAAATAAAATAAAAGAAAAGAAAATAAGCAAGTCTTATTTAGCAGTGTACGTGCTTCTTTAATAAGCCACTTATTTATGCTTTAATCCGTTAATTAAAGTAATCGATAACGTATTTCCAACGTACGAAGGAGCAAATCAAAGAATTATTTTTCAAGAATCAGATCCGAAAAGAGTGGAGCACATAATATAATTATGAACTATAAAATAAATGCTGTGATTTTTTCTTTCTTTCTTTCTTTTTTGTTTTTTTTTTTTGTTTTTGTTTTTTGTTTTAAATCAACAATAACGATTTAAATAGATATTATTATTATGGAAAATCTACATTTTGGAAGTGTTTATAACTTTAATATATCTAAAGCTGAAGATTTATATGGAATAAAAGTATATCTCAGCCTTCGCATTTTCCCGTTAAATCGCAATAAAATTTCTTAATCAATTTAGTTTATTAAAAATGATTTGATAATGTATTTTTACAAGAAATTTAACAAATTACAAGAGAAAAGTGACTTGGCTTATTGTAGTGTCGGGCTACGTGCTTTCTTCCTCACAGATCTTCAACTTACAAAGTTATTAGTTACAAAACATCTATCTACCTATCTATCTATCAATGTATATATATATATATATATATATATGTGTGTGGGTGTGTGCGTGCGTGCGCGCGCGTGTGTGTGTAACAAAAAAACATACAAAATAGAAAACGGAATTGCATTCTCGAATACTTTAACGATTAAATCATAAAATCAATTTATTATTCCCTAAATGTGATGACCTAATAATATGAATATAAAGGACGGCGCGAAGTAATGAAAATTGCTGCATGCACAGCATGTATAGTCCCATCTATCGGCTACTTTGAGTATTACGCAGCCATCATTGCATTTAACTCGTTCGATAAAGTATTTGTTAATTACAAATATATTATTGTTACAATAAATAATGTAGTATAAAACGCTGTCGAACGTTTCTCTTTGAAAAAATAATTATATTATTTATCTTATTTATCTGTCTCTCAATCTCTCTCGTATTAACGTAATATGGATAAATTTCTTTAACAGTTTAAAGTAATATTTATATGAAACTTTGGTGTAAAAGTAATTAACATTATTATTATTCCATAATCATGTGAACACTCTGTGCCATGGCGATTATTTTTTTCTTTTCTATTTCTAATTTTTGTTCCTTTATTTTTAATAGTCTCTCTTGTACCTTGAGTTCATTTTCACGTATTGCCATTTTCTCTACGTGTCTTCTCTCTTTATTTTTCTCGGCAGTGTCAAAATGATTTTTAAATTCGATAAAAAATTTGTCTAAATATGCAACGATCGGCTCTTTTGATAGTTCTATGTTTTTCGAAGCCGGTATACTTGCCATTGCTAAAGGGTCCTCGTTTAATTCGACATTTGATAAATGCGTTGTTTTCTCCGTACACTGTCTAATTTTTTGATAGTTTTCATTAATAATTTGATTCTTACTTTGTTCGGAAATTGGTTTTGGTAAAATTAGCGCATACTTGGTCGATCCATTTACTGGAGGATATTCGCTTTCTTGTAAGTAAACAGACTTTCGTTTCTCAGAAAAGATTTCATCTAGCGCTCTTTTGTGCTCCCAATGCCCGTAGTGTTTCATCCTGCCAGGATTCTTCATCATCTCTCTTAGTACTAAATTCCTATATTTACGCTCTAAAACTCTCCATTTATTTTCACATTTCTGTGGGCTGAAAAAAAAGCCATGTTTTTCCATTTCTACTGAAATTGTTTCAAACATATCTCGAAGGCTTCTGAATTGCGTTGTCTGTCCCACCATGGATCGATACTTTTTGTATTGATTTATTAAACAAGAAGTTGCTTTCGATGTCCATAAGTTATATGCCGGATCAGGTACAATAGTTTGTGGTTGTATTTTGTTCGCGTTATCAACAGTAGAATAATTGCTTTTAACTTCTTGGTCAGCGTGGACTTCTGGATATTCAATTTTAATCTCCACCTCATCGATTGCATCTGCATCAATATGAAATAATATTTTAAAACTTTAAAATTTTAAAAGATAAAAGTCAATAATTTGAGAATAAATGACTCAATAAATTGCTTGAGCAATAAATCAAAAATTTTATATCCATATATATATATATATATATATATATGTATATACATAGGCAAGCGCGCACGCGCGCAAACACATGCGCCCGCGCGCTGGCACAATATATATATATGCATGTACACAAATGTGCAAATAAATATATATTTTAATTTTTCTCACTCACTTTTAATAATTCACTCATTTATTTATTTATTTATTTATTTAATTAATCGCAATAATATCTATTAATAATTTCTATACACGTGATTATTTATACGTTTATTAAGACGGTGCAATGTATAATTAGTTTAACAAAAAAATATCAGCTCATAAAATGTAATAATTTTCTGATTTAAAAGTCCTGCGGCTAATAATCGCTTTCATTGCGACTAAACGTACAATATTTCAAAGAGATGGTGCACGAGGGATGTAAAAGTATTATAAAAATCATCGCTTTACTGCCGCTTGATACCGAAGGTAGAAAATATTTATCAAAACGGCCGTAAGTAGGTATTATGAATTTACATGTCAAGCCTAACCTAAATTTGCCTATCTTTACTCACTGTTCAAAGCTGCCTCTGGTATGCTATCGACACTCGACATTTTCAATTATTCCTTTCGAAAAACGTTCGATATTATTATTTAATAAATAAATTGCACACAAATATTAATTAGTTGCCTCGTCACGAGACTGCGTTATTACAGTACCAACTGGTGATTACGTGACTCCACACGTTCATTGTGGACTACTACAGGTGCAATGTACGAACACAACAGAACTTGTTGGAAACCGGTTACAAGCTTCGTCTCGAGCCCGTACAAATGTGTTTCTAATAACATTCTTAATTCTTGCGCTAACTAACAATGACGCTATTCTGGAAACATCGCCGCACGCTTCATGAAAACTCTTGAACTATCAAGCGATTCAATAACATTATGCCTAATGAAAATAATAAGTGCAATATATCAAGCTGTCTCGCTTGATAATTTATCTTTTTCGTATTATTGTGTATAAAATATTTGTCGCGTGTTGATTAGACTTTTAATTGCGCACGTTTAATTCTTGCCGATATAGCGAGTGCTTGCTGTGCGATAAACGCTGCCGATTGATTTATTTATTTCCATCGTATTAGCGTAGGCAAATCTATAAAAGTTCTGAAAATTAATATTTATATGCGCACACCGTTATTTGTGTTTAATTGCATTGATCGAGTGTCATCGTTGTGCGACGCAATTTATTATTCCAAAACCTTATCGTTTACGTGGGAACTCCGAGGCAATGTAAAGTATAAGTAGAAATAGTTAAACCTTAAAATGACCAGCCACGTATTATTATCGTATTTGTTATTTTAACATAAGAGCGAGATTTTTATTGTTGAGATTGAGATGTTATTGTTGTTGTTGTTGTTGTTGTTGTTGTTGTTGTTGTTATTGTTTTTTCATTATAATTTTCTGTTAATTATTAAAAATAACTTCTTTTTTTTTTACATAGTTGAGCACTTAAATTTATAACATGCACGTATACGTCGGTAAGCGAGTGTGTGCGTGTACGTATGCTGATACGCGCGCGCGCGAATGTGATTATGCATAATTTATAAATATAAGACATAACTTTATGGAAATTGCTAAACAAGTTTTGAATGTGAAAAATTGTAGGTTAATGTAAAAATAATTAAAATTACAGTCTAAAGCTGTGCGAGTAACTGCATTATAAATTATTGCTTAAATATGTAAAATATAGAATAAGTTTTTAAATTGATAAGAGAAAAAATTTTCGGTACATTGTCGTTCAAACTTGAGAAACGAGGATTTTTGAAAATTTATGTATATTAAAGTTTGAATAGGATTTGCCTATGAACTAACGCCGTTCGCATACTTTTCAGAAACTTTCGCTCTTGTTATAAAAATCGCGTGCGCTCGGTGTTACTCTTCGTTATATCAAAAAGATGTTAAGCATCGGCCGCTATCTCCCTGATTTTTATTTGCATTTGCAGCGCGAAGTTAAGCCAGGCGAGCGAGCAACTGCCCGAGCAATTTCTTCAACGGCCATCATGATATAATTGCATCAGGCGAACAAACCTCATGGGTCATACAACCAACCCCTCGTAAAAACTCCTAAGTTACGTACGTAACGATCGATCTTGCAAATGACGTCGACACTGACGTGAAAATAAAAGGAAACGAGGCTCGGAAGGAAAAGGAATACGACATTTTTTCACAAGCTCGTGCAGCCATCGACTAACGGCTGCTTACTACCCACTTGAGTCGTCCGAAACGGGTTCTTTGTTCCGCGGTTCCAAGTTGTCGTGGCCGGTTTGCGCAACGATCAGGAGCGCGGGCACCGCGGTACCACCGCTCGACCCAGCCAGACGTCGTCTCTCGCTCTAATCGCGACGAAGTGCGGGACCGGCCGATGCCGATTGCGCTCGCGGCACTCGCGAGACCGTGGAGCCAACGAAGCTCATTGGGAGTTATTGCGAGGGTCAAGCGCCTCTGAAAATCGCACGTACTGTTAAAAGAATACGTTAGTAAAATTAGTAAAAAGAAAGGAAAACATAAAGGAAGGAAAGAAAGCAAAAATCTGCTTCCACTACTTTCATCGTTATGTTTTTATTTCTATTTATTTCTATTTATTTCTATTTATTTATTATTTTTATTATTTTTTTTTTTTATTCTTTCTTTCTGTTTTTAATATCCGTTTTTCAGAGACCGGAGGGGAGACCAGTTTTCATGGGACTCGCTTCCCGCTTCCTTCACGGCACGACTGGATTAGCGGAAAAAGTTACCGGCACGAGACTTTACGATTCATCGAAATGGCTGATTGCAAGTATTAAAATGTCGACGTTAGAAAAACGCTTTCTATTGTGTTACGCGCGGCCGTTCGAGCGTGTGCCACTGCACATGTCAATTTCACATCTCAATATACTCAAATAATTTGGCCATTTTCTCGCAATTCGATCATCCAACATAGTTAGCAGGGATTTGAGACTTTTGTGCGATTCGCGATGAGATATTATAATTATCGTTCGGCTTTTCCGGTCCTCTCTGCCTCCCCCCCCCCTCCCCACTATCTGGTCTTCTCACGGTGATAAGCTATAAATAGCAAGAGGAAGATATGATATTTATCAATTAAGGCTAAGGTTTAGGTATATGCGTTCTTATGAACACCTCTTCTAACGAGCTTACGACCACCTCTTCCCCCGCCCACACAGACATTGGAATAATTGCCTTGGTTTTGAGCTATTATGATTATTCGATCGAACGAGCATTAACGTTCCTTTTATTACAAAAGCCAAAAGCAGCAAGCACGGTGGACCGTGCGTTACGTGCATTAGATAGTCGCATTAGTGTTTATGAAAATCCCGAGTTATCAGCGCATGATTCGCGCCATTTTAATTTACGTTCAATAATAAACGAGGGGCTCGAATATTACAAACGGAACAAGTGTTTGTCGCATCTAGACAATGCATAGAAGCGTACTAATGAGCATGTATTGTGAGAATATTGTAAACCGACAATAGCTCGGATGACATACTATTAATTAGGCACCTGCGAACGAGTCCTTGTTACAATATTTACTAAATATGATACTCATTTCGAAATTTTTAAATACCGAGCGTAGTTCAACGTGGCGACTCGTATTCACTATTTCAAACAATATTCGATAATTAATAAATAAATAAGCCAAGCATTTATTACCATAATTATGCGCGTTTTGTAGTTTAAATTCTCTCTTCTCTTTTTTTTTTTTTTTCATTTACAATGATTCAATTAACTCACTTTTTCAACGTGCGCAGAAAAATATTTTCTACTTTTTCAAATATATAGCTACAATTGCCGAGGTATATAATGAGTATGAAATGTTTGAATGCTCCTGACTATCGAAGTAAGTTGTAATTATCAGATTTATATATGCAATGCACGTGTAATCGAGGGTAAGCTTTCAATTCGAATGATTATCGTCCGCTATTTATAGATTTTCGTGCATACGAGGGTCATATTTTCATATTAAAAAAAAAAAAAAGTTCCAAATATTCATCCGCCCGTGAAAGAAAGAAGTAATTGTTATCGATAAGCGATTTATGGCGCGCACGCGCGCGCGCGCTCGCATACACTGTATAATTATAAATAATTCGACAATTATAAAATATTAATAGATAATTATTATCAGGATTGTAATTAATTTCCTCTAATACGTAGACTCGCTGCTGCTACTCAATCAGAACATTGTAACAAATAAATGCTCCCTCAATTATTATCAGAATATAAGGAAAAAACATCCTGCTGAGCTACGCTTTACGATTTGCAAGAGAAAATTGTAAGTATATCATCATTTATTTAATTTACGATATACATTTCGCGCAGTTCACCGATCATTCTCTCCGCGCCTTCTCTCCTCTTCTTCCCCCTCCCACCATCGCCGATCCCGTCCTCCCCTAGCCCACACCTTGCCACACGAAAGCCATTTCTCTATACTAGACTTTTGCAAAATCTCCCCTTACGTAATGCTTAATATTATAATAAAACTGTTGAATCTTAATATCATTACTTTTTAATCGCAGACTTAGCATTTTCATAACAAGTAATAAATAATAACATTGGGCTGGTACGTTTTATACGAGGAGAAAGAAAGGAATTGTCGGAAAGCATTGCGAAAATAATATCAATTGTAAATACTATTCAATTATAATGGGGCGCATGTCGCTTGTTTGACTTCATTATAGCATTTAAGTTTACTTTTGCGACAATGATTTTTTCAAATAATTACATATATAGCCGAGTCAAATAATTTCGTAATTCCTGATGTCTCAAGGCCAAGTAAAGGATAATTCAATAAATAAATAAAACTCGTGCAATCGAAACAATTGCAGACGATAAATAAATATTCAATCGTGTTATTTCGGTCAGGTCTAAACTTTCTTTATCACAAACATCATAATTGCGCATAATTACATGAAATTAAAAATACTTGTTCTAAATTTGAAATTCCCATCTAAAAATCATCCACGCGTGTTCGAGTATCGACGAATCGACGATAACCCAATTCACTCAAATATAATTTTTATCATCTCCAAAAATTATATTAACGACATTAATGTCTACGCTTTATGCGATATACCTTTAAATAGTATTTGAACAAATCGTGATACGATGGTATTTTTATAAATTTCATATATATATATATATATATATATATATATATACCCATTAGAAAAAAGAAAAAGAAAAAGAAAAAAAGAAAAATAAAATTATTAACCATCCCGTTGTTTTATCTCAGCACGAATCGATCGTTCGTTTTGCACTTGCGACTTTCTCCCCCTTCGCGCATCACACGCGCAACAGACTTAAGTAAGTAAGACATTAATTATTCGACTGCGCAAACAACTTGATCCAAGCACAAACTTACTCCAATGCAAACGCGTCTTTCTTTCATCATAAGGTGTTTATTAATTATATTATATCCCAATTATCTCAATAAATCACGGTAAAATTTACCTACTGCTTTTCCCTCCCTAGCACATATCGAATAATAAGCCATTAACTCAACCATTACGGCCTATTCCTCCCTCCCATCATCAACGAGAGCCGAACAATTGCCAATAGTGCCGAGTTAATTAATAAACATATTTAAAATTGCTAATCATCAGAATTTCCAAACGCCCATGAAAATCACGATTCCGTCGAGAGACTCATTCGCCAAGGACGAGTGACTGGCCGATGCCGCTGCCACCGCCCATTGCTCAGCTCCGAGGTGGCCCGGACGATGTTATCAATGCCCGGTAATG